ATTAATCCAGTTTGACTGAACTCCATTTGTAACAACCCTCTGCTTTCCTCCATCCAGCCACTCTTCTACCCAGTTTGCTAACTTATCCCCCACACCAATTTTTTACAAGCCTTTTACATGGCACATTGTCAAATGCTTTCTGAAAATCCAGATACACCAACTCTACACCCTTACCCTCATCTACATAAGCAGTAACTTTTTCAAAGAATGTTAAAAGATTTGTAAGGCAAGATTTTCCCTTAGTGAAAATCACGTTGACTATACAATAAAATTCTAAACTTTTGTTAAACGACTCATCTTTGTGAGACTAAGAGAGAAAAATTAAAAATCTAAATTAAATATCTTATTTTTCAAAACTACATACTTGTAGGACCTTTCATCTCAAATTTAAAAGAATTTCATCCACTAGTTTCATTTTTATAGAGAAATTTCATGAGAGTTGCATATCTACTTACATTGTAAGTAGATCATAGTCAAAGGGTTAAAGCATGACCTCCAATAAAAAAAATAGTAAGTTACATCTTCAAAGATTGGGAAAATTTCAACTATCCATGACTGAAGACTCACTCCACCCAGAATATTTTGTGAAATCACCCTGTACTAATTAATAACCACAAAATTACAGAATGGGTGTGTGTGTTATCACCTTAAAGTTCACTGAGTCACTACTGAGGTCTGTATGTAAATTGTTCATCTTCCATCCTACTATGTGATACATATTTGGACAAATCTTATATATATATGCATAGAAACTGAAAAGAAAAACTTCATTATCTTTTTTATTCAAGTCTTAAAAGAATATCTAATATAAGAAAGCTTCCTTCATAGTACAATGCACCAAACTCAAAAGCTAATAAATAAAATACTAAATCCACGAAGGAAGACAACCAAGTATAGGATATTAGTTACTATAAAAAAGTGAAAAAAATTGCATTGATATAAAATAGTTTTAATAAAAAGATAATATGATACTTACACATAGAAAAACAACAATACATGTGGCACATTGGGACTGAATTTGTACAAGTAAAACTTTTACATACCTCCAACACGTATACACTAACTCCAGCTTGACAATAACCAAACTCTTCATGACCTTTGTTAAGGAATTGACAAGGTTGCCACTGACGATCATATACTAAAGATGATTTAAAGGAATAGCAAATTCCTTCTCCCCAACGATAACCTAGGCCTTTAATAACATATCGATGAGCACAGGTCTGAAAAAAATTTGTAGAATGTCAACTGTGTCTGTTGGAGCTAGTTCTAAATACTGCTAGAAACAACAGACAAAATGTAAATTTTGATATGTAAGAATAACTTGACAGTATTAAAAATTCAAAGACATCACACTGTTGATGAAAACTTGTCTTGTAGGAATACTCACCACCACATAGCCACCAGGTTTTTGACTTGCTACGGTAACACCAAGCCATTGCCCATCTTTATCAACTTCATCAGATGATTCTGAAATTAAGATTTAAATAAGTTAAAGAAAACGGAATGGTTAACTTTCCTAGTGAAACACAACTCCTTCATGTTACAATTTGAAAGCTTGGATGTCTGATAATTTTCTGTTTTTGCATGTTTACATTGATGAGAAAATACAAGAATCTGCTCGTATAACAACATTATACGAGTTTATGAAATGTAATGTTATTTTTGGCAAGGTATAAAGTTATAGGCCATGTTAATAAAATTATTCAGACAGTGCCATACTTAATTATTATTTCAATTCTACATTATTTCAAATAAGCTAAACTACACCATAAGTACACTCATTGAACTCAAGCAAAAACATAATTCTAAAAGTCTAAGAAAACATTTTCTGTCCCAGACTTGAAAGTCCACAACTGGCACAAGTCTCTTGAAGTCTTCTCAATTAAGTGACAAGATCACATTCCATTATCATTTGATGCTGGCACTTGTTAAAATTTTTTAAATAAGTTCAAATGAACTTAAACTTCACATTCATTTAAAGCTAGTGCATAGAAGGCTTATCAGCCAATAACTGATTAGCATTTTTCTAAAAAACTGTAAGCATTTATAATTAGAAGTGTTCCCATTATAGCCTTGACTAGAAGGAAAATAAATACAATTTTATACACATTTCAGTTGTACTTGTAGTTTTTTCTACTTTAAACCTTATACACAGATTGTTATAATACACACTTAAGCTTAAAATTAACTCAAATTTACTTTGTTTCTAAGCTTTATAGATCAATTAATTTATAATTATAGCCCAGTAAACTGAAGCATAATTTATTACTAGAGGCAATTTGATTATTTTATAATTACTATAGCAACCAAAATATAAATCTAGGTTAACATGATCATGATAAATTAAGATGCACATTTGATTTTGAGAATATATCCAATTATTCTATTAAATTATACAGTACAAAATGTTTACCCCGTTTTAAAAATCTAAAAAAAAAAGTGCTGATCAGTATGTACAGAAACTACCATCAATTTGTTCAAGTTAACTAAATTTTACACTTAGGAGAAAAACTATTCCTCATTATAAATTTAGTTAAAATTCTAAAATAATCATAAACACTACATATTATACAGGGCCTGATACTGATACTAACAGTAACACTCAACACTTGAAGTAGCCACAAATGTGTAAATTAATTGATTTCGTTATTGGTTGTACTAATAATTACACTAAACAGTGAAATACATCAGGACAAACTAACGAGATGAAACCCTGACAAAATCACAAAACATGTTTATTACTTATTTACAATTAATGACGCTACTAAAAACTGCCTCATTTTTCATTACTTCATGAAGTTTATATATAAACGCCCTCTTAAAAAAAAAATACGTCTTTTCACGAGTAGAAGGTAAACTATATCATGTATGTACAAGTTAATACAACCATAAAAACGTTTCTTACAAAGAGAAAGCACGTGTGATACCAAAAAAGAATGATCAGTTCAAAATATAGCTAAAGCAAAGGCAAATTCGATGACGAGGAACCCACTTTGAGACTAATAATGGTTGGAGACGGCTTGAATGGGTAATGAAGAAAAACTTTAATATAAGTTTAACATAACACCAAATGTACAACGTTTCGACAAGGTTCTGTCATTAAAAACAAATAAATAAACACTTGGATCCCATAAATTCATTTTGACTTTGTAAATTACATAAAGAGCATCCGTTTGGACAAACAAGAATCTGAAATTTTGTACAAGTTCAACTACACTCTCCGATAAATTATTCAAAGCAGCAAAAGCACATGATGCCGTCAATTTAGAAAATATATACCAAACTATTGAAATAATAATATTCTTGTAAATTTATGAATTCGTCTAATTTTTAACCCAGTAACGACTTAAATTCTTGTGTAAAATATGGTGTAACAAAAACGAAGTTTGTTTGTTTTAGCGCAAAACTACAGAATGAGCCAAATGCGCTCTGTTCACTTCGGTGAATAATCGCTTCACAGATTTTAGAGCAGTAATCCGTAAAGTTACTGCTGACCCATCGGAGGACAGGGAAAAAATATCAATGATTACAGAAAACGAAAAAAAGTACAATTTTGTTTTGTACTTCCTGCGAATATTACAAGGTATAACAAGTACATTTTATGTTGTGGTGTTCACTGTAATACTGTGCTGGTTTTGATGTATGGCTGTATACTCACTACTGATAATCTAAAATACTTTACGTGTTTCAGGTAATGGTAAGTAAAGAACTATATACCCAATCCTACAACTGTTTACATTACACAATAATACAAGGTCTAATGTATTTATTCGCTCCGCTTACTCAAGCAGTAGTGATGAGCTGTGAATTCGGCGAAACTAAGTTAATAGTGAATCAAAGAATAGATTAAGCTTCTATGTCATTCGTGATTTTTCTTTTCTTCACTGAAACTACACGTTTTTGTAAAGAAAAGAAAAATCCATAAGTAATATTGTGTTATTAATCCTTGCTCTAAGTCTAATTTGTAAATGATTAATATAAAAGTCTTCAAAATTACACTTCACCAACTTAATTAATATTATTCATCATAATAGTTATTGTTTATTCAATTTTATATTATAAATAGTGTCTCAACCATACCGTGTTTGTTGTATCCCAGGCGACATAATAAGCCCGGTATTAGGTGAATGGCCTCAGATATTGTGTGATCGACATATTGTTATACATTCTCTTAAATTTTCTCTCATAATTTTTAGAACTACTAATGCAGTCTTTTCCCGTTAATACTATTGTTGCTCGCCCCGTTCCGGGAAGAATGAATGAATGAGACTAACTTGATGGTTCACCAGTTTATCTGAACGATGAGCTTAAGTCAAGTAAAAATAAAAATATAAACAATTGGTGTTAAAATAACTCAATGATATTGTGTTTTTAATCCTTACACTAATTGTGATTTGTTTGTTTGTTTTGAATTTCGCTAAAAACTAAACGAGGGTTATTTGCGTTAGCCGTCCCTAATTTAACAGTTTAACACTAGAGGGAAGGCAGCTAGTCATCACCACCCACCGCCAACTCTTGGGCTACTCTTTCACCAACGAATAGTTGGATTGACCGTCACATTATAACACCCCCACGGCTGAAGGGGCGAGCATGTATGGTGGGACGGGGATTCGAAACCGCGACCCTCAGATTGCGAGTCGAGCGCCCTAACCACCTAGCCATGCCGGGCTTTCAGGTTTGTAAATGGTTCAACTAAAATTACACTTTACCTACTTTATCTAGCTCATACCATAACAGCTATTCATACAATTCCATAATACAAATAGCATCTCAGTCATTTCTGTCTGTTGTATCGCACTGGCCTGATAAGCCCTGGTATTGGTGAAAAGGACGAGGTGGCAATGGATATAGCATATGGATTGTGGTTGACATATTGTTATGCATTCTTCTTTTTTGTCACTTATAAGTTCTTAAAATTACCCACTTGCCTCCCTTCCATTTTGTATGTGGCGAGCGCTGTTAAATGGTTAGCGTTCCGGACTGTGGATCTCAGGCTCAGTGATCGCATCATATTATTATAAAAAAAAAATCGGGCACTGCACTTTGGAACCGCGGGTGCGTTATAAGAAAAAAGGCAGCTAGTCAACACATACTTATAATCGACTCGTGGGCTACTCCAATCAAATGGTTGGATTTGCCAGTCACTTTTATGACTCACCAATATCCATAATGTACGATGCGCGATTTTTTAAATTTGTGTGTGTGTGGCAACGAGGCGCAAACCGGGCAACATCGGATCCAAAGTGCGTCACGCTAACCACTGACAAACATTGATGATTCTCATCTCTGGAGTGGCACCCTAAATAGTTTTGCATAATAAACTGTACAGCAAAATATGAACTTCCAGCTGTACTATTTTTACTTTCTTCCCAAATATTTCCTTCCTAAGTATTTCTTTATTCAGTACAGTAAGTATTTTCTTTTTTTCAAACCTTTATCTTTTGTTGTTAAGCTATTCTGGGTGTTTTGAGAAATTGGCGCTTCTATCTAATAGGAAATAATGTTACAAGTTGATTCCTTGTTATTTTTCAAGGTATATTTAGTTAGTTCTTTGTTTTTTGTTAAACGAAAATCTACACAACGGCCTACCTGCGCTCTGCCCTCTGCGGACATTCATAGTGCTTTATAAGCCCCAGACTTTCCGCTAAACTTCTGAAGGCTTATAATGTTAAAAACGGGAATTAAATCCCTGCAATGAACACAGTGCAGATAGCTCATTGTACAGCTTTGCAGTTAAAACAAACAAAATTGAATCGAAATGTCACAAAAAGTTTAGTTTAAAAATATGTAATTTCTTGTTTATACACATTTAAAAAAAATTCTAATTTTATTTATATCTGGCACAATACAAAACAAAGATAACGTAAAAAGAGAATTAAGCTGATTATCAATTGTGAGTTACAAGACAAATGCTGCATTTGAAGCGTTACTTTACATATATAAATCAGGCCCCTGGTGACTCAATGGTAAATCTAAAAGATTATAACGCTAACAATCAGGTTTCGATACCAGTGATGAGCAGGTCATAGACAGCCTATTGTGCAGCTTTCCACTTAACAAAATAAACAAATGATACATAAATCAATGAAATTTGGGTATATCTAAATATTTGAATGGACATAATTTGTATACAATACAGAAATGCACAAAAGCCACTTAACTCACTTACCACTATCAGGTGTAATGTCAATTTGACTACAGTCCTTCCTGTATGTCTTTAACTCGCATTTATAGAGGGCGCCCGAGTGATTCCTTTCTGCTCGATAATTCCGTGCTAGAGGTGCTCCTACAAGTAATCTAAAGAAAGGCACGGCAACTTTATAACATGGCAACAAAAACATTAATGGGTGCACGTCTTTTAAAATGAGTTAGACACAACAAAAGTGTAAAACACAACATGACACAATATAAATCAGCCAAGTGCATTGTCACTTTTCGGGGACTCCTCAGGTGACACTGAATACGCTGACCTTATATAATTCTATTACAAAGTTTCAGACGCAACAGTTAATAACTTTTGTTATATTGTGTTCTGTCGCTAGATGGTGTTTTATAGCTTGATGATTAAAATGCGAATTACAGCCCACATAACAATAACAAAATAGTATATTTCTTCAATAACGTTTGCTATAGGCTACTTTCACTGGTAGGCCTAATTTCAGAAGCAATAACAAAAAGTCTGATACTAATGTATTCCTAACTTACTTATAAACTTACTTCCATAACTTTCTTGTTAATTGATTGATAACAAACAAGCTGATTAACTCACTGAATCACAGACAAATAAACACAATAATTCTTATTGTCTATCTCACTAACTAAGACTGGACTGAATCACTTATTACTCAATAATTAACTGATTCTTTTGCTTATATCATACTGTTGTTTCTTATATCCGCATACTACATGAAATGTCTAGGTCCTAACAAGGCCTTAACTTTCATGAAATTTCTAAATCTTGTGTCATAATGGCATCAAAACACCCCCCCCCCTATCAAACAAACATAAATTAAGATATTAGGTACATAGTTTACAACAAAAACACTGATCCTTCCCGGATTGTAAAGTCTCTTGAAAGATTCTAATACCCAAATAAAATAGTACAATAAACTGATCATTCGCCAAGTCTTTTCGGTAGTTTTCTTTTCCGATGATTATAGTATGCAGATGAGATGACCTTTTGTCCCTTATAGTCATGTACTGTCCTGCCTATGGAGCGTTCTCCATAATTTGGTGTCCGAATGAATCCACTAGCGGCTCTGTCCTTGGTGATCCTCTGGAAGTAGTCTTGACAAGAACTTTGGGCTATTCAGTAAGTTGATTTCCCACCGACAAATTTTTCTCCAAAGTTATCCAGCTCATCTTTTTCTCAACAACATGCTTACAAAGATTATTATAGTGGAAGACCTCTGGCTTGGACTGTCTGTATTTTTCTGTATTCTGTAAACTACATCAGTGTTCCTTTTCAGTACAGCATACGGTTCTCCCCCACACCTGCTTAACTTTGGAGTGTATCCTCTCTTGCAGTGTGGATTGTATATTCATGTCATGTTACCTTGAAAAAATCCAATCTTATCAGCATTAACACCATAGCAGCTTATCATTTTATCAGTGGGTAAAGTAATGTATGATGTGTATGGTGTTTCTTATCCTCTCTCCATGTGAGATGCTGCTGAGTGACTATCATCCAGATGTAAGTACAAAAGATCCACTGACACTTTGAGTTATCTCCCAAACATCAGCAATGACAGTGTGTTGTCTGTAGCTGTTTGCACAGCTATTCAATAATCCATAAGTAGCAGTAGAAGGCCTTGGTCCCATGTTTTCTGAATGGCTAAAGTATTTAAGTGTATGGTTGTATCCCTCGACTATTCCATCAAAAGATGAATGAATAGCAGTTGTTCTGGTCTTTTTAACTCCAAGAAGTTGACACATTTCCACAAAACAGGCTAATACAAATTTCCATCTCTGACCTGAATGACGTTCCATAGACACTCGAAATCTTGAAACAAATTCATTGACGAGTTTCCTTATTAGAGCTTCTTCTTCCAGGCTAGGAACGGCATGAGCTTCTGGCATTGATGAAACAGTCATCTCAACCATGATATATTTATTCCCACTGTTCTTCTGTAGCAGAGGACAAAACCCATTTACAGCAACTCTCTCTCAAGTGGTGCTCCAATACAATACTGCAGTAGCTGATCATGCTATTTCTTTGGTGGATCTTTTGGCTCCCAGCAGAGATTATACAATTTATACCAGTTCTCTACAGATCCACGGAACTCAACCAAATACAATAGTTTCTTATTTTCTCCAATGTCTTCTTAGCATATAAGTGCCCTAGCTGTTGGAAGGTTGTGGAATGACAAAGTGCTCCTTAATGTAAAGACTGTGGAAGTACCAGGTGTAGTCGTTGTTTCTGTCCACTGGTATCTTCCCATTTCCTATATAACAAGCCCTCTTGTAGGCATAATGAATCCCGCTGTACCCATTACATCTTTGTATTGAGGCTGTATGGAGTGAATGTTTGGCACGAGAGTTTTTCTTCACTATTCACTAAATGAATGGTTTCAAACTCGTATCTTTTGCCTGAGCGTCTTTCAGTTGAATATTGTATCACATCATCACTTTTGGATGTAAACGTTTTGAACTATACTCTGTTGTACTTTAGACTGGGCATCTTTAATATTTCGTGCTTCCCTCTTTTCGCAGCGTTTACATTCTTCATTAATACGTTGTGCTGAATGATTTTAAAGTTGGCTCTTAGTTGTTTCTTTTGATATGGTTGGGCTCAAAGAATCTTCTTTAGAATATTGTCTCCTTGGTATATTAACAGCTATTGATTCCTCATAGTCTCATCTGTGATGGTCAGATTTTTCACATTTACTACAGTTCCATTTTCTGACATTCTCTGGGTTGAGGTTTTTATTCCACAAAGTCCGTTTGAAGTTCTTGGAATATTACCTTTAAAGTTATATTTGAAATTTCTGTTGTCTTATAGTTTATTTTCTCCATTCTCAGCAACTAGTTGCCGGACTAATTCTTTTAGTTCTTCTAGACTATCGTCAGGAGGAGTTAATGTTTCAATACTACTTGAGCTGATGATATCTTAACTTCTTGATAGCACCTTTAATTGTTTATCTGCGACTTTAATGGATTCAGTTCTAACACAAACTGGAGAGTTTTCTTTAAAAATGTACACGTACTTTATTTCAGCCTAATGTACATACCCTCTTCTGTTATGACATCTATAAATTGGTCTAGTGCCAACGAATCCATCAATTCATGTGAAGCATCCAAGTCAGATAAATGCGCAAGCCTTTCTAAACCCTCTGCAAGTTTAGCTAAGATGCCTTCTTTCCTTGTTGTCCTGCTCTGGAACTTTTCTTTTATTTTGGTGTATCACTCTGGACTTATTGGATAAGGCAACTACCTATTCTTGATAGGTATTATGATCCTTAGCCAGCAGATCTCAATACGTAGTACCAAACATTCTTACAGCCAGGCATTTGTGCATGGTTCAGTACATTGCTATTGTCAGATCCCAGTGCGTAGTACCGAACATTCTTACAGCCAGGCATTTGTGTATAGTTCATTACATTGCTAGTGTCAGATCTCAGTGTGCACTAAGTTACACTGCTAATATCAAATCTTATTATGTTGTGCTGTACACTGCTACTAGTGCGTTTCTTTCAAGAATCTCAGCTACTGAGATTGTTGATGTTTAAAATTGAAGTCAATTAAATTAAAACGTGCACGTACATAACAATCATCGTCTCTCATGAGACTTCATCTGAAATGGCCAATTAACACGCGATCAGTCATGTTAGAGACGAAAAGCGAAATGCCATTTTGTTAACTGCCGTGGCTTTTATCAAACACCTATGAAGTTTTCTATTTTTCTAATCAAGTACATAATTTTTAAGAACGAAATGTGTTACTTAATACTTTAACGTACTTCGTTATTGTCCTCGTTGCTATTTAAATGGGACACAAACTGCTTTAGTTTCGAAACATAAAACATTTTCTTTTACTTTATATGATAGATCGATGGGTTATTGATTTTATATAAAACAATTTGTGAACAGCAGCATTCATTATTCAGCAAAGTTAGATATTTCTATGTTGTACGCTGCACTCTTTCTAAAACTAAATACTTGTATCCAACATATATCGATAAATGTTTAATAGTATAGACACATACGTAAAAATTAATGGCAATAAAATTAAAGATGACTAGTTCTATTATTAATTAGTGATCTAGGTACAAAATCGAACACAATTCTAGACAAAGATATTTAGATTCGACAAAATTAGTTTTTTAGTGTAAAATTTCATCATCTTAAAGTAAACCTTTGATGTACTCATGGATAATCCTTATATATATATGTAGTAATGATACATTAACAAGTCAATGAGAACGCGAAATTAAATTTGGTATGAAATCAACGAACATCTCACTCGTAAGCACGGTTTAAAATCGAAGTAATTTTGGTCGGAAGTTGAATGATCGTGTTATATATATGATGCATGACGAGACAACTAAAGTAATGGCTGTCACATAATAAACGGTAAGAAAAAACACATAATACTTAGTAGAAATTTGAAATTTAGAATTAAAGAAAATAAAAATGTGGATAAATTCAAAACTAGTAATTCGTCCTTGGCGGAACATGTGGCGATCTCTTCCCATATTATTGATTGGGACAATGTCGAAATACTTAAAGAAGTAAAGTTAAAAATGAATTTAATATAAGAGAATCGTTAGAAATGGCTAAAAACAAATGATTTAGGTCCTGGTGCCACAGAGGTACATTTCTGGAAGTCAATTTTGTAAATGGCATCTCTGTACAAAATGCAAATTGTACAGATACAATTATATGAGTATATAAATGAATTTTTTGCGTCTTTTTTTTTTTTTTTGTCACCTGAATATGGTGGAGCACGTTACACCGAAACATGTAGTGTTTTTAGCTTTTTATTGCTTTTATCTTTTCACAGTAAATTATTGTACTTATTAAAACGTTGGAGTCGTCAAGTTATTTTAAAATAACATAATACATATATATAAACATATACATAAATGAACACAATACAAATTTAATATCATACATAAACACGTAGGTGGTTAGTGCGCTCGACTCGCAATCTGAGGGTTGCGGGTTCGAATCCCCGTCCCACCAAACATGCTCGCCCTTTCAGCCGTGGGGGTGTTATAATGTGACGGTCAATCCCACTATTCATTGGTAAAAGAGTAGCCCAAGAGTTGGCGGTGGGTGGTGATGACGAGCTGCCTT